GTTTATTCGAATAATTACGGTATGCCCTATTTTAGTATTTTGTAATATGTAAATTTATGCAAATTTCAGCATTTCACAGAATGCTATTATTTGCGAGTATGAATGAAATAATGACAAAGTTAACACCCAACGGCCAAAACTTACTTCAGTGCTCGCAGTTCGCCACTCTGCCACACATTTGTAATATGTCTGGGAACAAGTAGCTCGGCATAAAGATCCCTTACATGTGTTCCACTTCGAAATGGATCCCATTTTTTCGCTTGTAAAATTAACGTAGAAGCTTTCATCCCACATTTCCTTCTTACTGCTTCGATTTCGCCAGGTTTATCCGTTTATTATCTCGAAACAACGAACAAAGATCGTATTTTATTTGCATACTTTCCGCCATGATGACTCAAGTAACGTGCGTACAATGTCGCATGCAGAGTATCGCGATTGTCCACGCATTATGGATTTGCGCATCAGTCAAACGCGATATTTTGGATCGCGGGCTAAACGCATCAGTCAGCATCCATTTCCCAACGTTGCGTATGCACGAAAACTATAGTTTTTATGACGTTGCGTTGGGGAAACTCGGCCAAAGAGACTCGGGACTGTTGCGCCACTGATGCGCATTTCTCCCCCAACATTACGTAGTGATGCACTCTTTTCCCAATGTTACGTAAACGCGTCCACTGACCGTAATATGATAATGCATAAGAGTCAGAGTGGGTGCATAATCGACATATTTGGGGATATAATGTCGCGACAACCAAACGTACAACGAGAGAAAGACGAAATTTTCATTTAAAATTTCAAACATCGTCTCGCTTTGCCTTGTTTGGATTTATTAACAATCATTTTTTGTTTTTTACGAATTTTAGCAGAGTGTAACCCGAAAAGAAAGTAAATATTATACTTTATCAGAGATTTTTAGAAAATTCCGTATTTATTGCAATTTTCCATATTTAGTGTTCAATTATTATGCTCGTGAAATTTTGACTGATGCATTCGCATCACTCGCATCTGTCTGGATCCGCCCCTGCTATTATCAACTAAACCTTGGATTTCTATTTCACTCAACTTCCCAAATCTTTCAGCCATTTTGTTTACTTTCTCTACTAGACAGATATGAGCTAATATCTGTCTACTAGCCAGCCAATGAAATTGCAGAATACCTCATATCTGGCGCTTGTGTATATAATAATACCTATTAGCGCGCAACAAAGCCGGGCGACAGTAATTCCAAAAGAATCACAATTTTCTCGCCCGCTATTTTATGGAATTTAGTGTAAAGTATACTAAATTTATCTCTATCAAACTCGCAATTAAACTGCCCTTTCTTATGAAAAACGTTGAACGAGGAGTGAAGCCGGGACAAAAGTGTTTGTGTGAATTCACTTATTTAATTTCATTGTTTATCAATTTATTCCCTCTGAAACTTACGAAAAAACATTCTAACAATATTTATTTAACAACAAACTACAGCTAAATTTTCTTTTTTATATGTTTTATGAGCACATAACAACAAATATTTTTTGTTTTGTTGCCTGCAAATCTTTTTGAAGTAGTGATCGTTTTCGAACAAACTGTTTACATTTTCCTTATAATTTCACCACGCCGCGGTTCGAGGTATGCTTTAATCAGCATTGATTACAAAATTACAGTCTAAATCGTTAAAATAAACGATAAATCCGAACGAATGTAACTTCGCCGCTAAACAGTTCATGTTTTCCTTATGTTCACTCCTGAAAAGGCCCTCGCGAGAATGTCTCGCAACATGTACACGCGTGTCTGGAGGTAAAACACGCGTGTCTGGAGGTAAAATTTGGCTTCAATAATTTTGGCTATTTTAATCAGGAGGTAGCCTTCCAGTTCTTTTGAGTTCAATGGTTACGCCAAACAACTATAAAATTCCGTCTTAAAATCAAACGTGTCGAATGTCGTGCGTACTTCACACTTTGGTGAGTTTGAGTTTGAGTTTGAGACAGAATTTCATACACTTCGAAAGAGGAATCACTTGAACATAACAAAACTCTTGAATAAGTGTGTCATTCTGTACTATTTACGAAAGTATGGTGAAGTGTGGAATGGAGGCTGAGAAAATTGCGATTGTTTAACGAGTAGTCTTTTCGCGTTTCTTAATTTATTAATAATGCCCAGGCATGTCTTCATATATAGCAATTTTCTCCGCCCCTATTTTATAGAATTTCTTCAAATCTCCGTATTTACTTGGAAATAATATGCTCTTTCAAACAGTGTGTAACATGAAACACGTCGATATGTAACACGTAATCACAGGATTAATTTTCGCAGGCTGTTGTAAAGAATTATCTCGTGGTTGGCATCACCGTATAAGTAACCACGAATAACAATATTGATTTTTAATTACATGAAGTAGATAGATTCGCACCTAAATTCGCTCCTGTTATTGTTAGCATATAATAAAAAATATAATAATAAAACTATGGCTTTATAGGCTAATACTATGATAATTGATTAAGTATAAATGGATAAAAATGTAGATGTCACTGGGGCGATATTGGAGCTATACTAGACTTTCACTAACAATATAGCGAATATATAACGACGAATGCTATATCAGAGAGGGACATATCTCATATCTATATTTATAGGCTCTCAATAATTTCAAATGGACTAATTTTTGATCGAACTAACAAGAAGAAAAAATAATCATAATTGGAAAGAGCATATTTAAATAAGTGCATGGTTATATTTTTCGTAGTTTACAACAATTCTCAGCCAAACTTGTCAGTTTTACTAATTTTATTAAGCTCCTTGAGAAAATTTCCTTTTTATCGCTGAGGTAAGAAATTAGTCTAAAGCACAAGTCGTTCTTTTACGGACCAAATTAATTTTATTACATAAAATTTAGAGTACGCGCATGCTGATTTGTCGAGAAGCTTGTTTATATAACTTATAGAAACACGGGACTAAATTTTCACGGCGAAATTAACAGGCGAAGAGATGTAATGTGAATTTGTAATTAAATCGAATTATGATATATGTACAAAATCTTTTTATTCAGTTATATTTTAAAAGAAATAGAAAGAAAATTTTCCTGGGGTTTTTTCCATCGATTATTTGTCGCTCTCCCAAACTCCCAGGTGTGTTTCTACAACTGTAAAGAAACACGGAAAATGTTTTTTATTTCTTAAATACAAAAACTTAAAAGCATTTGTTAGTATAAATCGTAATGACAGTTTTAATGACAATTAATGATATGTATCTGGGGCCTAAACAATAGCTAAATTAGTGCTACGAAACGAGAATTTTTTTTATCCAAAACAACTTTCTGTGCTCAAATATGATTGCATAATATCTTCATACGGACAAAATAATCAGTGAACAGGGCCCGGTTGTACGAAAGTTGGATAACGCTATCCACCGGATAGTGGCTTTTTCACATGCTTTTAAAATCTCCTGTTGTTGCATATAATTTTGATAAAATGTTAGCATTCTTAAATTGAGGATTCTCTTTAATAATTTTTCGTCCCAAAGATGAAATTTTATTGCTTTTCAAGCATTTTTAGAACGGTTGAAAAAATCACAATTCTGTGGGTAGCGCTATCCAGCCTTCGTGCAACCAGCCCCAGTGTTCCTACAGGGAAAAGGCTACGGATTAATTAATTGACTCTTTCGGCCCTTTCTACGAAATTGATATTTCGCATTTGATATTTCGCATAAGCACCGTTATTATGCAAATTAGCTTTACTGCAGGAATATGCTAATCTACGGAACAGGAATTTTGAATTATGTATATATAGTATGTAATTGCATCGAAAGGTAATCCAAATGATTAAAATACAAGATTAGCTGTTTTGAATGTGGCTTTGGCGGTAGATTATCCCCCCCCCCCATATACGGATGAAAGGGATGCCGCCATTGACGTCACAGTAGGTTGCCACGCGAACATCATGTGGGAATACACAATAGTTTCACGTGAACATGTGTGGTGTATATTAGCGTACAATGACGTCACACCAAATGTACACGTTAGTTTCACATTTCATAATATCGTGTTTGTAAAAGGTACTTTGGGCGAATCGGTGTTAGCGATTGTAAATGTAGTGTTGTTTGCTATGATTGGGTGATTTTATATGTTTATCTCGATATTTCATTCACATCTTTTATGGATTTGATGGCTCTTAAAAGAGCCGTTTTTTATGTTTTTATCGTTCATATTCTAACAATGCACGCTCCATATGCCTCGACTTCAACTTTTGCGCAATGCCGATGAGCAATTACCTCGATGATGTGATTCCCACATGTCTCAAATAAGTCAGGCATATAGAAAAGATTATCTGCTTTAAGGCATCCAAGAACTTCTAAGTTTATGCTTGGTATTTGGAGTCCCTTACATACTGCGGTCAGCTCATCATGCTGATGACAAGTATATATGATGATGATAGTCAGGAACGTCTCAGGGATAAAAAGACAGAGAGGTTAATGCCAGCACGAAGGGCAGGCCAGAGTTAGCCACCACACACCTGGCCCGGTTTGGGAAAGGTCTCCCAGTCAGAGCACGACATTATTGGTAGGAACAAAACCATATTTATATCGATAACGATAAGGTAACTGTCGTCGAAAAATAAGTCTGGTTTATTAAACTCAAGTTAACGCTACACAACTAGATGTAAATATTGACAATATTTTGATTAATTTCTTTCAAAGCCGTCATCTTGAATATTTATGATACCGCGATAACTATAATGCAAAGCGCTTCGAATATTTAATAAGCTAGGGAATCGTCTATTCCAAGTTTTCACTCGGTACTTGATTTCGCGCGGGTAATAATTCGCAGTAGAATCCATCTATATTGTTATAGCAAATATGGCAAAACTCTCTCAATAAAGAGTAATGAAGAGTGGACTACCTGAGTCCTATTTAGTTGGAAATTCGAATTTTTTTTTGTTTCTGTATGCGTTTTTTTAAACAAGGCTACATTTTCATAAAGACTTCTCAAATTCGCTCTTTAAAACGTTTAAATTAATTTCTAGGATCAGCAATGTCTGGTCTACCGTGGGAAAGCGAGGAAAGTCAAAACTACATTCGAGCGGAATATATTCTCACTGATGCTGTAAGAAAGGAGTTGAGGAATTTATTTATTCATGAATGGAACAAACGTTACCAGGCTTCTCTCGAAGCATGGGATGACACAAACGTCAGTGGTAGTCAGTTGTTTAATCTCGAGAAAAAACGAAGAAGGCTAAATAAGACCATGCTTCAGTCCAAATTTCAAAATGGAAATACAAATGAGTGGGATTGTACCGTACTTTTTGATGCAATTCTTTATTCCAAGTCAATCGGTTGTAGTCTTAGTACAACAGAAAAGACTGAAATCGATATTCTTCGAAAACTGCGAAATGAAATAACTCATAATATACCTGACAAAGCGCTAACTGATAAAGACTTTCAAACCATGACTACAAAAGTTGAGAATGCATTGGGTGCATTGGGTCTGTCAATCAACGAGGTCGTTCGAATAAAAAACCTGTTTGCGTCATTTATAATTCTTCCCCCTGAACCAGCCCATGAAGTCGTTTACCGTTCTGACAAGATACACGAGATAAGACAAGACCTTGAAAAGTTGCGCAGTCATAACGATGGCAAACTTACATATTTGTACATCTCTGGGAATCCAGGCAGTGGAAAATCTCAACTCGCCAGACAAGTTTGTGAAGATATTTGCAAAGATGTTAATGCGAAAGACAAAGCAATGTTTGTAATGACATTGAACGGAAAAGATTTAGATTCTCTTCTTTATTCATATAAAGATTTTTGTCGTCGGCTGAATTGTAACGAGAGCGCATTGCAAAGTATTTCAAGTTCATCTAAACCTAAAGAAGAAAAAATAAAAGATTTAAGATCGCAAATATCTTGCAAAATAAAAAATTGGAAAAAGTGGTGGATCATCGTTGACTATGTGGAAAATCTAGAACTCATATCCCCACTACTGCCTTTGAAGGGAGACGAAGTTTGGAAGGACGGCCAAGTTATATTAACAACACAAACACAAATGCTGTCCACAAGACAGTACCTCAACTAAGCATATCTCACTTATTCATGGTATGAATGACCAAGAGTGTCGCCAGCTGCTTGTTCTATTATCGTGTACCGAGGTCAACGACCCATTACTAGATGAGATGGCGGAGAAGTTGGATCGTCAACCACTGGCAATGGCCGCGGCAGCCGTGTATATGAGAGAAGTAACCAATAGTTGCCCAGATTTTTCTTGGCGAGATTATTTACGAAAACTTGAGAAGGGTAAAAGGGGTTTAACCGAGGAACGTCTTCGGCAAATGAATTCAGCGGCATATTCCTCCACAATGAGCACGGCAGTGTTGCTAGCGGTTAGAAAATGTGCAGAAAATAACACAATCCTGGAACACGCTTTCAACCTTTTCTCTTTGTTATCTTTTGAACCATTACCACTTGATCTTGTTGTAAAATATATTCAGGAGCAACAGGAGGTAGATGCGGAGGACGTCATTACTGCAATAAAACTCTCCTCGCTGTTTGTTCAGGATGGTAGCAATGGTGATGTCCGCCTACATCGTGTTGTTCATGAAGCCGTCAAAACCTTTTGTCTTTTCGATAAATCTAAAAAAGATAATACGGAAAACAAAAGTACAAGCGAGGAAGAAAATATAACTCACATTTACAGGGTTGTCAAAATAATGAGTTACTTTAGTGAAAGAGAAGATAAAATCAAATCTATTCCGCATTTGAAAGCATTTCACAAAGAAATTATTGACAACATTCATTTTCCCGATCAAGCATTATACTTATTAAGCTTACGTTTCGAAAAAGCTGACATTTCTCAAATGTATTTATCTTTGGGGAGCACACTTTATCGCTTTTCTCAGTATGAACTGTCGATGGAATTTTTTCAACTGGCACTAAAAATTCAATTAAATCACCTTGGTCCGAATCAAACAGACATAGCAGCTTTATACAATAACCTTGGTGTGTTGTGTAGCGATAAAGGTGATTTTGATAATGCGAATGATTATTATCAACGCGCACTGAAAATTCAATTAGAGCATTTAGGACCAAACCATACTGATGTTGCGGGTTTGTACAACAACCTGAGTAATATGTGTAGCAGAAAAGGTGATCTTGATCAGGCTAGTGAATACTGTCAACGGGCACTAAAAATTCAATTGGAACAATTAGGACCGAATCATACTGACGTTGCCACTTCATACAACAGCCTGGGCAATGTGTGTATCAGAAAAGGTGATCTTGATCAGGCTAATGAATATTATCAACGGGGGCTAAAAATTCAATTGGAACAATTAGGACCGAATCATACTAACGTTGCGAGTTTATACAACAACCTGAGTAATGTATATCTCAAAAAAGGTGATCTTGATCAGGCAAATGAATATTGTCAACGGGCGCTAAAAATTCAATTGGAACAATTAGGACGGAATCATACTGACGTTGCCACTTCATACAACAGCCTGGGCAAAGTGTGTAGCAGAAAAGGTGATCTTGATCAGGCAAATGAATATTATCAACGGGCGCTAAAAATTCAATTGGAACAATTAGGACGGAATCATACTGACGTTGCCACTTCATACAAGCTCCTGAGTAATGTGTGTAGCCGAAAAGGTGATTGTGATCAGGCTCAGGTTTATTGTGAACGGGCGCTGAAAATCCAATTAGAGCAATTAGGACCGAACAATACTGACGTGGCCAATTCATACACCAGCCTGGGCAATGTTTGTAGCAGAAAAGGTGATCTTGATCAGGCTAATGAATATTATCAACGGGCGCTAAAAATTCAATTGGAACAATTAGGACCGAATCATACTAACGTTGCGAGTTTAACAACAACCTGAGTAATATATATCTCAAAAAAGGTGATCTTGATCAGGCAAATGAATATTGTCAACGGGCGCTAAAAATTTATTCGGAAAAATTAGGACCGAATCATACTGACGTTGCCAATTCATACATGCCCCTGAGTAATGTGTGTAGCCCAAAAGGTGATTTTGATCAGGCTCATGTTTATTGTAAACGGGCGCTGAAAATCCAATTAGAGCAATTAGGACCGAACAATACTGACGTGGCCAAGTCATACACCAGCCTGGGTCATGTGTGCTTTTGATCAAGCTTATGATTATTAGCAACGGGCGCTGACAATTCAATCCGAGCATTTAGGACCGAACCATCCTGAGATTGCTAATTTGGTAAAGGTTATCGCCATGATTAAAGATCTCTTTCAATAATTATTGTATGACGTTTAGCGTGATAATAAAAATTTATTAGAATTTGTGATAATTCTCTAAATCAGGTGAAGACCGTATTCAATATTTACGCCACTGGTAAAAAAGCGATCTCTTTCCAAAGTCATGTATATGCTTTAAACGTTCCTTGAACTGCGTTTAGTTTCAAGCACTTTCTTTAATTCTCGCAAAATGTGTGCAAAATGTTGGTTCAAATCTCGAAGGGTTGCAACAGTTATAACATGTACAAAATTATTCCAGCCGTCTTAGCGTAAAATTAATAATAATAATAATAAAAATAATAATTATTTTCAATAAACAGCTTATGACTAAGTTATTATTTTTTGATTTAGTTGTTTGATGCGTACTAATTTCATCCACAACTAGAGGCAGAACGCTAGATGGACAATGACCAATGATTTTAACAGCGGTTGCGTCATCCAGAAACCTAATTTGTCTTTGTCAGTTTCTCATCAGCGGGTTTACCACTTACCAAAACAGCAAAGAGTATGGGCCCAAGCTTTTTCTCGAGGAACGCTATGAGGCGTGAGGACGTAGATTATTAATCCTCGGACACTGTTCTCTATTCATAAGAAAGGATTTAATCCAACATATGAACACTGAGTAAATATTTAGATTAATATGTTCTTAGATGATTATATTGTGGTCAAATAAATAAATCAAACGCCTTACAAAAATCAGTAAATGGACAACTTACATTATAGATTTCGCGCCGCTAAGCATGACGGTAGGAGTTTGTAGGTTGCTTTCGAACGAAATGGCTGGCGCTGGAGGGGGTGATTTTATTCGGAGGAATATATGGCAGTTTTTAGACTATTTATTGCTTCAATCGAGATTCTTTTTCCTCTGCAAATTAATAAGGGCACTGTTCTCTATATTCTGAGAGATTTTGTGGAGTTTCTATCTATTAGCAGCCGAGAAATTACTCCGAGAGTGACATGCTTAAAAAACATACTTTGCAGAATTTACTAGGTGACATTTAGATCTCCGCAACAAAAGCAGGCGGTGAGTCGGCCTTTCATTATGCGATCGGCTGAATTTTTTTTTTTCAAGATATGCTGCTCGGATAGTTCCTTGCATTCGATCTCACAGTTGTTTTGCATGTTCGCGCATTAAAATGGTATTTGAGGCCTCGTGATATTGACAACCTCTGTCGCATTTGTGCTCGAATTTACCCTGAACTGTCTTTTCATTAGATTCCAAAAAATCCTGATAATTATTAAAAGAAAAAGGGGGTAACACTTTTGAAAAAAATGGTGTAAGAGATCCCAGTTCAAGCCATACGGTGTGTTCAATGCCAAGAAAAAGGCCCAATGCAGAGTAACAGTTGACAATAATAATTATTCACAATGTTCATCAAGTTAAACTAGTAAAGAAATAAGAGATGATACAGTCACTAGAGAGATTAATTAATTCTACAGGTGTTGAGGTTGGGGATTTGGGGATACTAAAAAAACAATTAAGGTGGCTCCCTACAATTTTTTAAAATATTGAAAACTTGTGGTTTTGATTTCAAATTTTAGCAGGACATTTCTTGCTAAGGAAAAGAAATTTCCCAGATATATTAACCAACATTCTAACAGTTAGAAATGGTCGGCATTAGATCATATCAAACTAACGTACATGACGTCATAAATTTTGCAATAACGGAAGTATAATAACAGAAGTCTTACATGAAGTCTTTTTAGAGCTGGTTAATAAAAATGATAAAATAAAAATGGCGATGAATGATGATACATTTATACAATAATAAATAATTACGAAAGTGTAAATGTCTGTTACCCTCATACCCAGTATAAGAGTGATCATATACTTATGTAATAGTATCTCTGGCTTTACCTTAATTACGGTTAGGGTTAGGGTTATTGAAAATTTTATGACGTCATGTACGTTAGTTCGATATGATCTAACGCCGACCGTCAGAAATTGCCCATAAGCATGACGTCATTACCGTTGTTATGGTAACAATGGCGATTCAATATGGCCGACATTTTATCTCTTCACGCATTTTGCTCGAAAACAAGTTCGGTTACCCCAATTTTTATTTTATAAAAAGTTTTCTTACAAAAAAATAGAAAACTCGAAGCAGTTAAAAAAAATTCTATTGAGCCAAAATTATTAAAAATTAAAAAACGTGATTTTACGTTATAGAAATTTTTTGGCTCAATAGAATTTTTTTACACTTGCTCAAATTTCCCAATTTTTTGAAAGAAAATTGGGGTAACCGAACTTGTTTTCGAGTAAAATGCGTGAATAGGTAAAATGACGGCCATATTGAATCGCCATTGTTACCATAACAACGGTAAAGACGTCATACCTAAAGACAATTTTCGACTGTTGGAATGTTGGTTAATATATCTGGAAAATTTCGTCTCGTTTAGGAAGAAATTTCCTGCCAAAAATTTCAATCTAAATCATTAGTTTTCAATATTCCTAAAACTGTAGGGAGCCACCTTAAGAAGCAACAAAAACAGCATGAAGAACTAGATATCAAAAAAGTACAATTAAGTGCTTTCCGATTAGAAAGATTCATAGCAAGTTTTAAAGCTTTTTATGAGTACCTTTCTCCGGCCTGTGAACACCTTGTGTATCATGGTTCCAACACTGCTCCTATAACTTCAGCATCGCAAACAAATTGTGGTAAACAAAGATCAATGTCCCCAGAAAAGGGATTATTTCCTTGTGCTGACAAGATTACGTTTAGGCTTACTTTTACAAGATATCGCTCATAGATTTAACATCTCGACAAGCAGTGTTTCTCGCATTATTACAACCTGGATTGCCTTTATGCATCAATTAATGCTTTCGCACCCTCCCAATTTGGCCTAGCCGTAAATTCATTTAAGATTACATGCCTTCATGCTTTAAGAAAGTCTTAACACCAGGAATATTATTGATTGTACTGAGTTTTTCATTGAAACACTATCATCATGCAGAAGCCAGTCTATCACATTTTCCAGCTATAAGAATTATAACACTGCCAAGGGTTTGATTGGAATTTCACGAAATGGGTATCCCAGTTTGGTTTCGAGCTTATACGCAGGTAGAACTAGCGACAAAAAATCACTGAGACTGTGGCATTCCAAATTTACTAGAGCCAAGAGATAAACTTATTGCAGACAGAGGTTTTGATATTGATTTTGACATGCCAATTGCGGTACTCCTAAATATCCCACCATTCCTAGACGGGAAACCTCAACTTGCGGCCGAAGACGAAGCCACAACTAGAAAAATTGCATCAGTTAGGGTGCATGTTGAGCGTGCAATTGCACGGATAAAAAATAGGTACGCAGCAGATCTTTGTCATCTGAGTGGTATCATGGATTTGGCTGGCAGAATAACTAGTGCTAATAGTTGTACCCGTTTGTCTTGCATTTGGAGTTCGAAGTCGCACCATTCAGTTTACCTTTTTTCAAAGGTGACAGGTTGTGTATGTAGCCAATAACGGCCGGATTATTTCTCCGCGAAGCCATGAATATCGTCGGATTAAACTGATTAACTGAATCAGCACGGTAAACTGGGTGTGACTTTTTATACTAAAGCGCGTGGTTGACACTACTGTACAGGGTATCTCAAAAAAAACGCGAACACTTAAATATGCAAGAATGTTAATATTGTTCGGGTTTGCACCATAGTTCAGCTAAAATGACTTTTAGCATTTTAAATAAGGATTAAGAGCCATTTTCAATTTCCAGAGGTGCGTATCTATTGCGCTTTAGAGCTGTATTAATGTTCTGCATATTTAAGTGATTGCGTTTTTTTTAAGACACCCTGTAGTCCAAAGAATGCGCCATGTCATTACCGGAGGTCATTGGTGCATGTGTAAAATCCTTTGTCAGTCAGAGAAGAATACAATGGATCAGTGAGGATCGGCATGTTATTATCACTGTTCATTGCTGATGATTAATGAAGGGTCTCATTCTTTCCTAAATAAGCAAGCTATTTTACTCACCATGCCAATAATTACCACATTCATTGATCATATTCAATGATGGCAGTAAAGCTAATGCTGAAGTGAATGACGATGCGTGACGATGTATAAAATAATTGGGATCTCGTTCAGACCTGTTCGGCCGAAGCATAATTTTAGGTAGAATGACACGGCCTTTTATTTTGCGTTCCTGCCTCTACTTATGTTTACAGAAACTGATTGCGCATGTGAGCTATATGCTAAAGTTTCAGCCGACAGCATTCACATCTACAAATATTACATGTTACTATTAAAGTATAGAAATTGCATTTGGTTTTGCAACGCATCCGCCGTATTGATTAACTCCAAATTTCATAAAATATGAGCGATTAGCCGTTTTCACATCAGAAGACGAACAAATCGTCTATAGACAAACAAATCGCCTGCTGTCGGCGGTCTGCAGGTGTTCTCTAAATACTGTAGCTGTTTTCACACTAGAAGACCATATGTGTCGTTTAAATATTGATTATTATATTTGAGTAAGACGTGCAAAGTTCAAACAGCTCAAAAATGTAAGCAAAACAACGTACGTATAGAAAAGCTGTGTTGATACTAAAATAATTTGCATTTGAATTGCATATTTGATTGCACCGGAAAGGTTGGCGATAAATGACGAAAACTGCCGAGTGTGACGTACATCAGTTGTGTGACGTAGTGCTGAGTGTGACGTCATGGTCCAAGACAAGCATTCAAGAAAGCAAGCAATCAAGCAAGCCTCTGACATAGTGGCTACGCGGTAGTCACAAAAACTATAGAATATTACACCAAGTAATACCATTGACACTGGCTGATAGCTTTGACCAAATATGGGGTGTTTGCCTCTATTTAACATTGTTTTTGCCCCCGATTATTAAAGAAAAACAATCTTATAGACTGTTAAAGTTGAGCCTTGACTTCTAATATTGAGAGTCCAAGTAATTTACTTTCTTGTGCTTTGCGTTAACATAAGTTACTCTAAAAAGAGTTTGTACAATATTATATATCTCTATCAACTGCTCAGGATTAATCAATCAAAATTCTTATAACAAATATTGAGAATAAAAACATTGTCAAAACGAATTCTGTCAGCATGTAAATCATTATTGGTAAAAACGACAAAGTTGCACCAGCTCACATTTAGTGTTTCCATGCTGCCTTGGATTTGATAGAAATGGTTATGTGTCTTTTTCAGTTATGCCCAATGCAAGAAAAAGTTCTTGTCTTTGTTGAGATATGCTCTAAATATCCAAAATAAGATTAATTAACATAACTGAACCACAATGTCATATATGAAAGAATGTAATCTTTGACTACCAGAAATACCAACATAAAAATAGTTGTTGCATGTATCAAAATTGTAGACCTTATATGGTAATGAAATGTAATATGTCAAATAGTTAGCATAGATATAATTCTGTATATATATATGAGTGATTTGTATGATTAAAATATATTCCTTTGTAAAACTCCTAAGTTGAATGTTGTGCTTCGTATATTCATAAAAGAGCGATGGCAACGGTACAAACCTCAACAGGTTATGGGCCCAGGAGAACTCTGGTCTTCGATGGAAACGAATCGAAGTACGAATTATGGGAGGTAAAGTTTTTATCGTTTATGCGGATCCAAAAACTTTACAATATTTTTGTGCCTAGTAGCGATGAGCGTGAGCTAGATGAGTCGAAGAATGCCGATGCCTTCGCCGAACTTGTACAGTGTTTAGACGACCGAAGCTTGTCCCTAGTGATACGGGAGGCAAAAGATGATGGTCGAAAGGCTTTAACCGTGCTGAGGGAACACTATTAAGGAAAAGGAAAACCCAGAATTATAGCTTTGCACACTGAACTGACTTTGCTGAGAAAAGGAGAAAGCGAGTCCACAACGGACTACATCATACGCGCGGAAACCGTGGCGACAGCACTCAAAGCAGCGGAGGAAATAATAAGCGACGGTTTACTAATTGCAATGGTTTTAAAAGGTCTTCCAAAGAACTATAAAACATTCTCTACGGTGATAATTCAACGCGAAAACAGATGACGTTCAGCGAATTTAAAACAGCGCTGCGAAACTACGAAGAAAGTGAGAAGAGTTGCCATAGTACGGAAGGCAAAGACAACGTGATGTTTGCCGCCAAAACGAAATTCGACGGAAAATGCTTCAAATGTGATAAGAAAGGCCATAAGAGTTCTGAATGTTGGCTAAAGAGCGAAAAATGGTGTGCCAAATGTCGAACCAAGACCCACAATACAAGAGATTGTAGAGCCGCAAAGAAGGACGCAGCGAAGCTTATCAACGGGGAAGTGAAGAATCAAGATTTGGATGAACATTCATTCGCATTTACGTTAAAAGATGGTAAAGGTAGGAGTACGAAGAATTTGAAGCTTCTCGTGGACACTGGGGCGACCAGCCACATAATTAATGATAGGTCTAGGTTTGTAAGCTTTGACAAGAACTTTGATCCAAACAGCCACTTTATAGAACTTGCAGACGGAAGCAAGGCTAACGTAGTTTTAGGAAAGGGAAATGCAATGGTTAAATTGTTTGATGTAAGGGGTAATGTACAAAATCTAATGCTAAGCGACGCACTTTATATACCGTCCTACAGTCAAAATATTTTTTCAGTTTCGGCAGAAATAGGTAGAGGAGGATCGGTTGCCTTAGGAGAACAGGTAAGTAAATACACTACAGCTGAAGGTCAGGTATTTGAGATAGAAGAGAGAGAGAGAGTTTGTACTATTTAAATAGTATCTCTTCTTCGTGTAACAATGCTACCTCCATTAATGAGTGGCACAGGATTTTAGGCCATTGTAACTTTGGAGATGTACGGAAGTTAGAACAGGTAGTCAAAGGTATGAAAATCACAGACCACAGAGAGATAGATTGTGAAGTGTGCATTCAAGGCAAAATGTGTCAGAGTAGAAACCGAGAGCCAGATCAGAGGGCTAATCAATATGGCATGCGGTATACCCCCAAAATGTTTGCGCCACGTTCATTTGAGTCAGTGGTGTACCGCCCAAGAATATTTAATTAAGTAAACATGGCGGCTGTTTCAAATGTGCGATTTTCGTTGGAAGAAGTGTTAAAACAAGACATCTTCAACGAAAACGCCGTTGAACAGCCGTCAAACTCTTTGACAAAAGTTCAGGAGGCAATTGAGAGTTTGGCAGTTGAGCGTGGGTGCAGCAATGCAGAGGCTGTCACTGGGGCATGTGTTGAGCAAGTTCAAGCTATGCTTGAACTTGCAACAAGCCATGGAGAATCTGGGCTGAAATTGCTGGCAATTCCCATCAATGTCGGCCCTATTTTGCAGCGAGAATCACGTTTGTGGTTAAATGGGATTCGGCGACGGGTTGGTGGTAGAAGGAGCATTCGGAACCCGTATTATGGGGAAATTACGAGGGATATGCCTTACGAGGTTTTCACGGCGTTGTGTCGAATTGTTCGGGGGATGGATGGTTTCGTGGCACCTTTTTGTTATGAGCGCCAAAACAAGAAGGCACATGTTATATCTTTAACATCAATGCGTCTTGTGAACGAGTTGTTTGTTTTACTATCTGGCTTGTCGATAGATGAAGTTGCCGATTACTTTAAGAGATGTTTTTCTGGCAATCGAAAGGGTCACACAGCGGCAGTTATTATAACCGAGGTGAAAGACTTTGTTTTTATTTACAAGAAAAGGCCTGGAAAACTAGTCATCGGTTTTAATTATGGTGAATGGAATGTAAATGGAGTTCCTCAGCATGTATGCTAACATTTCTTTAATCTATGAAAAACGTTTTAACATAGGCACGTTCTTACAGTTGTGAAAATTCAGAGCATTGTTTAAATCATTTTAGGCAAAATTTTGGTAATGTAACTGCAAACATGATTGATCATTTCAGGCAATTATATTACCAAAATTATGAAAATCTGAATTGTTCTCAGTGCACTTTGATGAAATATGCTTAGTTTAGTTAATTTAATCTGATGTTGGCTTTTATAATGCACTTCATTGCCAAGTTTTCACAACTGTTAAGAACCATGTCAAAGCCAGGGCTGTAACTAGAACGATAATTGGGGTGGTGTTTATTCATATATTCAGTTCAGCCCGACGGATTTCTTTTGTAAGTGCAATAGCTCACAATGGAAATCCGTCGGGCAGAACTGAATATATGAATAAACACCCCCCCAATTATCGTTCTAGTTACGATCCTGGTCAAAGCTCTATATTCCTTTTTAACTATATCAAAGTAATAATCCTTATATAGCTGGATATTGCCTCCAAAATCATAGATTTACATACTAATATTTTGAAGGCAAACCAGCAGACAAATATATGTGAACTTCCCTTTTAATGACTAGTTTTCCAGTTGCTTTTTCAGTCAGAAAATCAAACTGCTGCCAGATAGTAAATCAAACAACTCAAATAATGTCAAGAACAAAACACAATTTTAGGGTTTTTTGCCACAGCCACCCCCAACAATTTGATAAAAAAATCAATTTTCTTCTGCCACCATTTTAAGAAAAAGAAACAATAAATACATTTTAATGTATTTATGTTACAATACATTTAAAATGTATTTATAGTCCTCTTTTTGATTTTAACTAAATGGTACTGCATGACTTTGTCTATCATTAAGCTGCAATGGTCCTCTAAGATTCCACATTGAAAAGAAAAATCATCAGGACTTTTTCAGAAAAATATAACTAGGATGCACTGAGATTTTTACCCCTTGGATACTAGTGGATACTTGAATACTAGTGGAGAGAATGGAGCTTTGAAGAGTTTATACAAATGAGTATAGGTTTACAACACAAGTTTTTGTCTTAATATATATCTATTCTAAAAATAGAAATCAAACATACATATTTCATGCAAAAATTACAAAACTAATACACTAATAATCAAGATGTATGCAACATATGCATAGCATATTCCTGTGTGTTTAACATACACAGTTATGTAAAATGTTACTGTTCATATTTGTTTTTATATTGTAAATACATTTAGGTTAAGACATTGCAAGTAACCTGAACACTATTTAAAACTGATAGCACTGATTTCAATACTTTGTCAAACTAATATACTAACAAGTACACACTTAAAAAACATCAGGTTGATGCAATATTGATATGAACATGATTGATCAATGTTGTGCGGCCGACATTGTTCAGAGTTGTTATTAAGATGTATTAGCATATTCCAGTGTGCTTACATACACAGTTAGTATGTTACTGTATATTTTACATTTGTACATTATTTGGTTAAAGCCCACTTATATAGTGTTGTTATATTGTAAATACATTTGAGACATTGCAACTAATCAGAACAATAATCAAAACTAATAACAGTGCTAAATATTTCTGGTTTATAGGTAAATTTCTCATATATACACAATTGTGTATGTTTATATGGTCAAATATATTAATAACATATATTGGACATTAATAAGAAAGAATATCACAATCATGACAGGGTATTTGTTTTAAGCATCAAGTTGGAGTATGACACATGCCATAAATAGAATGAATCATGATAAACATTTCTCTCAATCATTAAAACTTATATCAATTCTGCTGATGTACTCACACAAAAGAGCAAATCCTGCTAAATGATTGTTCGATTTCATGCATGATTCGAGTCGGCGTCACAACACATTTTCATCAAAATTGTTTTTGACTATAAAATGTTGAAAAGCATTACGTATAAATTTAGTGATTTACGCTATTAATATAAGCGTGTATGTCTGAAACATGTATACCGGCTATAGCCTAAGTACATGGATTGTAATTCAGTGGCAATCCATGTACTGCTTCCTGCAGAGTAAGATAGTTAACTCATTCAGCTGTGGAAAACATGAGGCAGATTTGAATTAAGTTCATTGCGTACTTAATCATACTGACTTAAATTTTAAAGGCCCACACAAACGAGCAGTTTTCTCTTAGAAGTTTCAGCTCTTTGCAAGGTGCACACGAGCAAATTACTCTCGACAAGGAGCTAGGTTGACAAAAAAATTAATCGTCTGTGTGGGGCTAAAGGCCTACACAAACCGGATGAGATCCGGCCAACGCGACGCGATTTTTACGAATTCAGTTTTTATAACTATAAAACCGCTAATTTTGACAACGCAATAATATTCTTGGTAATACCGATTGAAGGTACATTTTGACTACTCTGGTGCCCATATATCGCAAAAGGTCCTTTAAGAATTGAATTAAGTTTCTGAAAATAAAAAAATTCGCGTCGCATTATGGCGAATCGCGTCCAGAGTATGCAGGCCGTACAGACTACGCGCGACAAAGGTTGCCAAACCGGGCATGGCATGCATGTGAACACAGATTTAATTGAAAATCATCTGGGTATTATCACAGAACGTCTTTCTTAAGCAATAAAGTTCGCTTATCGTGCAAACATTATGTTTATAATTTTATCCTGAACGAACTTATTTCAAAGTAGAAAATGAATCATTTATGCCGCTAGCATGTTTGGTCAACAAACCTTCACATTTAGAAACGTTCCCAATGGCAATGACAGGTTATAAATCAGTTTAAAGAGGGGTTACAGCGGATTGACCGGATTCTGCACATTGCGGTTCTGCTCATAAATTTGGGGGCTCCATGATTCAGAAATTGCCTAAGCCTAAGGGCGGATTCCACCATCTCGTTTTTACAGGTACATACACGCACATAAATATTTAAAACCTTCAAAGTTTTTATATAATTAATTTTATGCCAGAAAAACATAACAAATCTTCAAAAGAGTCCAACGCAATGCAACTATTCAATCGCAAATTTTTGAAAGTATCATTTAAATTATTTAAATTGCT